GGGACTGACACCCGGGGACGGGAGAGTGGTGGGTTAGTCCCTTGTGCACAGGGTACAAGCGGGCGTGTCTTCGGGGCACCCAATGGGGCACATTGATTCGCGAATCGCCGGGTTATCCGATGCGGCTTGTCTCAAGCGGTTTAACATCGTAGTAAGAACTGAAAGTTGAAAGGAGAAGAAATGGGCCGATTGCTCAACTCTTGCTTGAAAGTAGAACATGCTTATATAGATTGATTAGATGAAAACTTAATACTGGTGATGATAATAATGTATCAATAAGGACTCACTATTAGTATTGCTTTTTGCTAAAAGAGAACCAAAAAACCATAAAGCCTAGCATATTTCTTGGAGTCGGGAAAGTATTCCCACCTGTCGGATAAGTCTTGCAGTACATTGTGTACTCGGGGTTTATTTACCCCTTGCGGTGGCGCTTGAGGAGTTCCTTGTGTGGAGGATCCATCTGGTGGGCTCGAGCGGAATCCTCGTTATATCTTATCGCTAGATGTTATCTTTTAATATTCATTTGTTTATCATTCCGTACTCTATATTTGGTATTGTAATAATGTACTTTTCAAGAAACTCTAATGTATGAGATAGACTTGTGTTGTAACTTCGTTTTCATTATTGGATCCTTGGGAAAAATGTGGATCTTTCGGGTTCTCCCTTGGGGTGTGCTCGACGGACACACGCTTCATTGTGTAGTTACTTTCGAGGTGCTTAGTGTCGATGGAAGACAAGCGCCTTAAATAAATCTGCTTATTTCGGTGGTTACGCCACGATGAGTCGCCGGAACTGTCAGGCAGCAGCCCCCGTCGCCCCTTTGCCGCACAAGTGGCTCCAAAGATGGATGCCCGCCGTAACGCATGCGGCCGGCGAGAACTTCGTCGACCCACGACGGGCGGCGGCGCCCATGGAGCGCTCGTATCCGAGCAGTCATCCGTTTCCGTTTCCGCCATCGGGCCGCGCCAGTTCCTCACGTCCTGGGCCGCAAATCCCATAGACGCCTGGTTCCTCACAACCCGCACCACCATCCTAGCGTCGCCCGCTCCACCTCCAGCCCCGGTAGCTCTGCCCTGCCGCTCCGCCTCTTGTCTCCCAATCCAGACCTCTGGCGCCGCCGCCACGCCGGGTAGTGCCTCGATCCGAGTCGCGATCTGCACGGCGAAGAACCCTAAGCCGTGGGGCGGGCGAGTCGCAATCGCAAGTCGTGGGGCCGGGAGGAGATGAGAAGGTGATGTTTAATTTTTTTTCGGGGTAAAAAAGACATCCTGAGGTTCAAACACAGCCGATCGGTAGAGGATGTGCGTTGAAGCCTTGATTCGCGGTCGGGCCGAGCAGCGTTGAAGCCTCACGATGAAGCCTAGGATGGATCCAGGCCGCACGATTGAGTTGAAGCTTAGCAGGGATGTTTGTTAGCCCTTGATTTTAATAAAGATAAATTGGTGTGTGCATTTTTTCAGGGCATGAAGTTAGAGTCTCTCAGCGGGGACGTTTTTCTAGGTAGACCTAAATTTATTTAAGTTTTCAATTATAGTGGAGATGTAAAATTATACGCATAGCTTTAATGTATAACATTCTGCGAAACAAAACTTATTACCACGATTATTAACATATCTTTGTTATATACTCCCTCCGTTCCAAAGAATATAAATCTCGTTTCACGAGGAGTCAAAGAATCATAAGTTTGACTAACTTTATAGATGATATTATCTAGTATCTATATATACATCTCTAATTAATTTTATTATAAAAATATATCTCATAATTAATCAAATGATACTTATTACGCATCATAAACATCAATACTTATATATATATATATATATATATATGTTCAAAATTAACAATCCTGGACTCCTAGAGAAGTGAGATCTACATTTTTGTTGGGACAAAGGGAGTAATCTTTTATATAATAAATTTTATGAATAACATAACTTATACACATAAGTTATTATAATCAAAGATCTTTGCTAACTTATTCTAGACAAACTTGTAAATCTAAAAAATATGTTTATAGTATATAGAAAAAATTGATAGGTTACTATAAACTAAAAAAATAAAAGAGAGAGAAAGGAAAAAAATGAGAAGCAAAAAAATTATATAATATGCTAATACACGAGACCTGGATGACTCGTAGACACAATGTCGTGATAATAAGGACAAAAGAAAAAGAAAAAGTGGACCATGTGAAAACCAACGCACGTGAACTGCTAATCAATACTCCCGAACTTATGGAAAGAGAGGAGCAGACGCATTTTCGACGAGACTTTAGAAACAATGTGTCAGGTAGCTGCGAGGATCAAAGATGACATTGAACAGAGGAAGAGAGCGCTTGGCTAGGAGGGGTTTCCTTCTCTGAGTGGGCTTCCACCATTCTGTTGTGCCCACGGAGCGTGTAGTATTCTCTCTATCCGCTTGTACATAATTTTTTTTCTCCTCTATCTTAATTGAAAGACAGAACTCCTGCTAAAGTTTTCAAAAAAAAATCAATACTCCCGGGAGCATTTGTGACCTGTCGTGCTGCTCACGGTCACGGCAACTTGCTTCACTCATGGCGTGTGGACAGTGGACTCATCCCGTGTCGGAAATCGTCCGTTTCAAGCGAAGAGACTCAGAAATGGAATGGACCTAAGGCCTTGTTCGTTTGTCTTATAATCCGTACTTTTCAACTTGTTTTTTCAGCCGGAACAGTGTTTTTCTCTCACAACAAATCATCCGGAACAGTGTTTCGGTTTGTTTTTTCAGCGAAACAAATGGGGCCTAAATGACGCTTAATCAATTGACCCAACAAGACACTGAAGTGTGTGTCAAGACAACTCTTCTAATGTATAAAACCTGAATCTTAACCACCTTAATTAATTGTAGTGTTCGAAGTTGGGGCCGGGGCCGGGGCCTAAATGTCAGTTAAAAATAACAAACGACAGTGCTAGCGTTCCGACACATGGACGGGCATCCGCGCCTGCACTCGGTCTCCCCCCGCGCACCTGCATCCCGCCCCCGCCTATGCAGGGCCCGCGTCGCTCGACTACACGTGGGGAATCCTCGCTTGCACTCCATCCGCTTCTCACGTGCATGCACATGCCCAGCAGCTGTAGGCGATGACTACAGCAGGTGGCTACGCAGCATCCAGAAGATGGGGTGGGGGCGGCGTATGCCCAGACGGCGCCGGGAGGAGGAGGAGGAGGAGACACGGAGGAGAAGGTGAGGCAGCAGAAAAGCGAGGACAAAGATGCAACACCCGATATATTTTTTAAACATCCGGATGTAACACTTGCAACATACGTCTGAAAGGCAGATAAAACACATGAAACATGCATATGAAACACTAGTTGCAGCACCAAATCTACTTTTGAAACATTCAAATGAAACACTTGCAACATATGTATGAAACAGCTGAAACACTCGAAACATAACACTTGCAAAAAACACCTGAATACACTTGAAAACCATTTGCAAACATACGCAACATCCAGATGAAACACTTGCAACATATGTGTGAAAACTTATGCAACATCTAGATGAACACTTGCAAACATACGTCTGGAAAATGAGATAAAACATTTGGAACATACGCTTCAAACATATGTGTATAGCAACTGCAACATTCCGATATACTTTTACAATATCAAGATAATACACTTGCAACATCCAGATGAAACATATGAAACACTCGAAACATAATGTTGCAACATGGGCTTTGCTTGGACGAACGGAGGCACGCCGCCGCAGAGGTCGACGGCGGCACATGGAGCACGCTGTGCGGCAGTGGCCGGACAACTCGTCGGTGTGCGCGGCGTCACACGAATCTCGCCCCCCCCTCGCCTGCTTGCTAGAGCATCCATGGTGGAGCCTCGCCGGCTCGGTGGAGGCGGTCGTGGCGCGCGGGCCAGCCGCGGCGAGGAGGCAACGGTGGTGGAGGCAGGGCGAGGCAGATTAGGCCTGGTGGGGAATGTGGCGCGGAGGAGGCCACAGGGGATGGGGCATGACTTTGGGGGACCGGCGGCGATGAGGCGGAGTGGGGTGGGCGGATGGGCACGGCGACGCAGGGAGAAAACAGCGCAGTGAGCATTGGGACGTGCAGACAGGACGAGCAGATAGAGTTGTTGGATGAACGACGCGTGCGGAAGTGAGCGAAGGGAGGCGTCTGTCCGTCCGGACGCCTTAATAATTATATCATTAGCGAATAAGAAAAATTGAACAGCTAGGCTGCTACTGTGGGACGGGAGGACAGAAGAGATGTGAGTACCGGAATCCTTCTAACTAAACCGGTGTGCAAATCTGAACCACCCGACACGATCTTTCACCTCTCCTTTTCTCTTCCCCTGCAAATCACAAGAAGTCGTTGCATCGGGCTGGACTCTTTGACTGCCCAGTCGCAGTGCGTTGGCGGTCTTGCTCCCGCATGCCTGCCAACACGCGACATCTCGCAACGGTGCTCGCTCGCCACGTTCGTCGCCTACGCACGGGCCGGACCGTCACGCCAGGCTCGAACAGCACGCGAGACGTGTGACCACACCCCGTAAATGCCACGGACAACGACGTCACCAAGTAAAAACAACCGCCGCGGCCGCGCGCGCCCGCAGATCCGACCGGCGGAGTCGTCTGCCGGCCGCAGCCACGGTGGTCTCAGCCACAGCCCACAGGTTTGCCACCCCCGCCCGCGCCGCGCACGAAAGCCGCAGGGCCGCGAGGCCCTCGTCCCTCACCCACCCGCGTCCGTCCGTCCACCTGAAAACGCAAAGGAACGGCGCCCCGGAACTCGGCTCCGTCGGTTCCCCCACTTCGCGTCCCGTCCGTCCGTCGCCTCCTTTCCCTTCCTCCATCCACCGCCCTCCCCTCCCCTCCACTCCACTCCCGGCCCCCGCCCCCCGCACACGGCGCAGGGCACGCGGATCTGACCAAACCGTCGAGGAGGCCCTCTCCCGACCGCGGCGTCCCGCGCGCAACAACCTGCTCCGCCTGTCCTGTGGCATCGGCTTCCAATTCGACCGATGCGCCCGATGGAGACGGAGGAGGAGGACAGCGGCGGCTGGGACTTCCTCGACTGGCTCGGCCCCGACACCTCCGCCACCGTCTTCCACCTCCTCGACGACCCCGCCGACCTCGCCCGCGTCGGCGCCGTCTCCCGCTCCTGGCGCCGATTCGGTACGCTCCTGCCCCCAATTCCCTGCTATTGTCCACAGTTGGGCCGGTCGCTGAGCTCGACGCCTCCGCTGGTTTTTCACCCTTCTCATGCAGTGATCGAGAACGGATTCAGCAAGCGCCTGTGTCGGCGGATATGCCCGGAGGCCGCCAGCTTCACCCGCGCGGTCGTGGTGACCCGTTCGCCGCCGCCCGCCGCGTCCGCGTCCGAGTCCAGCCAGGACGCCGAGTGCAGGGCCCGCGAGGGGGAGCACGCGGCCTACTCCTACCTCCTCGGCGCGCTCGTCTCCGCCAAGCCGGCCATGGACCTCATCATGCGCTGCGTCGGCGCCTCCAGCACCGACTTCTTCCCCGACGAGAGCATGGAGAACACGCTCGTGCCGCATGAATGGGTGAACCACCACCACTCCTACTGGTCCAGCGGCGGCAAGGACGACCCCGACGCCCCCGAGAGCTTGACCTACAGGCTCTCCTCTGATCTCTGCCTGATTGATGAGATCAGGGTGCGCCCGTACAAAGGTGCGTGGCAGGGCGCATGCGACTGATTTAGGTAGGTTTGCATTGCATTTCTGGGAGACTGATCATGTGAATTTCATTGCTTGTTTTGGTTTCGTTTTTGTTCTGCCAGCTGCTTTTCAGAATGGCCATCCGATTTACTCTTCCAAGGCGGTGAGAATCCGGCTGGGTCATTCCAAGCTTGATCCTGGAACAGAGACTTTCGTTTCGGCTGAGAATGAGAACCTGACAGCTATTGCTGATGAAAACTACACGTGGACATACACGTCGCCAGAGTTTCCTATGCTTCAGGCTAGTTAAACGCTTCTCTCTTGCCTTCTTCCCTTCTCTAGTTGACTGTTCTACCCACCAGCAGCTTCTTTTAAGATGATATCCGACACAGTAAAGCTATACTTTATTACGTCCTATCGTTATGAGTTCATTCCTCAGGAATTGCCACACTTTTGAGAATTTTAGCGATCTGTTTGGAATATACTACTAGAGATATCATTCTTCATTCATCCCCTGTGCAAGATCGGCAAGTGCTATGATTGGTTTTACTACAGTTTTGAATAGAAATCTGAACCTTCCGGTCATTATTGTATTCACTTTCAAAGATGGAACAGGTTAGGTTTAAAATTATTTAGCACTAACGCACCATTGCAGAATAAGAAAATGACAATTCAGTCCACAAGTTGGTGTTGTGCCTTGTCTATCATTTTGTTTTTGTACAGTAGTATTAGTATCTCACTGGTCGAATAGTCTAGACAAACGGGCCTGGTACTGAATATCCAAGCATTGTATTTCTCTCTCCTCGGTTACAACTGAAATTCTTCAGGTGGGTCGCAATTCAGAATCAAATATGCACTTCCGATAGACTGGAAGCTCGAGGGTGGCCAAACCATAGAATTTTCCTACTCTGTCGACAAGATTTGGAACAGAGCTGCATTTTTTTTTAAGAAACAGGAGGGGTAGCCTCGTACTGGTTAATATTTATATTAATAAGACAAGGAAAAAAAGTTGTGTCAAAGTAACAGAATTTAGGAGACAAAAAAAGAGATAAAGAAGATACAAAAGATCACAATTGGTGCTCTTGCCATTCTTCTATAAAGGGAAAGTATTTCTTCTTCGCTCTATGGATAACCAGAGCAAACTCTTTCTTGAAGAAAACCCAACAGTTTGATATAGACGGCAGAATCCCTTGAAAGGTGTGGTCATTCCTTGCGACCCAAATGCTCCAGCTCATTAGTATGATAATTTCCATGTAGAAAGGGACTCCCAATTGTTGTTTGAAACATTCCAGAGTGACAAAAGGTTCAACCTCAGTGTCAACACTAAGATTAAGACTGAGCCAGCAAGCTTGCACGAAGTCACACTTCAAGAAGAGGTGTTCCAAGGTTTCCTCAGTAGGTTGGGTGCATAGGACAATCATTGCTGGTTCGTTTATGTGAATACAATAAAGATGTGAGAGAGAAGTACTGCTGGTTTCGGTTGGCTGTTTCGTATCGTTGCTGGTTCGTTTATGTGAGAGAGAAGTACTGCTGGCTGGTTCATGTAAATAGTATCCATGTGAGGGGGCTGGCCAGCCAGCCCAGCCAGCCAGCCCCAGCCGATCGGGCTGAAGAGGGCCGCATTTTTTCAGAGATTGCAGATTCACTAGGTGGCTGTGGACTGAAATCGTGTTTTCGAGTGCTGCAGAAAAATAAAGATGAGGCAAGCCTGTGGATCGCGGCAGGATCCAAACACCTCTCTTGTTGTTTTTATCTTTTTTAACCTGATCTTCTCTCCTGTTTCTCGTTGCTCATTTGTGTGCAGCTGTTTTGTTGCTAGGCTCCAGCCTTTCTTGTAGACTCTTCTTGTACAGTGCCCCAGGACTTCCTTTCTTTTTAATATATTTAACTGGCAGCTCTCCGCCGATTCGTTTTACTGAATGGATGATTTGGAAACTTTACTGACGCCATCTTATTTTGGTGTGATAGGAAAATGTGTTGCAAACCTTCAAGCTTCCGCGCCCTGCCCTTTGCATTGGTGGTATAGTGAAGATTGAACTTCTGGGGAGATTACAGAAACAATCTACAGATGATAGGTATTACATATGGTGAGTTTTCAATCTTCTATGTCAGTGTTGGTTGATCACCTGTTTTTTCTTCATGGCTCTCTTCGCACACAGTGACAATGTCACGATTCAGTTCCAAGAAGGAAACATGCATGGGCTTCTAATTTGTTATATAAATTTTGAGCTTGCATATACAGTTTCAAGCTGGAGTAGAACTAAAGGAGTGTGTGCTACTTATTTTCACTGTTGCCTAAAAGTAATTTGTCTACACTCTACAGAACAACATTTTCTATGTGTTTTTGATAATCTTTCCTGTAATTTTGTCTTCATCCTTGTGTCAAAGCATGGTTTATGTATGGCTTGTGTATGTGCAGACACATGCCATTACTCTGATGGTGAAATTTCTTTGTCAGCAGCTTATAAAGTAGAGTTTGCTTTCTGTAACACGTCTGAAGCATTTCCTTGGATATGCATCATCTCGGCGACGCTAACAGCTTTGTTTTCTTTTTGCGCGTTGACAGTGTCTGCCATGTCCAAGTGATGGGGCGCTCGCTTTCACCAGATTTAATGATAGACATCTCCGATCCTGCTGATTACTCAAACCTCAAGTATTTGCCGGGTGCCGGTAACTTGCGCCCAGAAGACCTACTGAGCAGTGACGCCAAGGAGGACTCATCGGACTGGCGCTCGCTTGTTTCTAGGTACAGGCAGATGAGGGAACTGGCGATGGTGTATATGCTGCTTGGACCTGTGCAGTTTGTAGATGAACAAGACGAAGCTGAGGCAGACCTGCCGCACATGTTGTAGGCTTTGTTTTCTCTGAACCGGGTCTTGTGTATCCTAATTGAATGGAGTTTGTTCTGATAAATTTAGCGCAAAAAGATTTGTGTCGTTGTTTCAGTCTAGTGTTTTTTCAGCTCTGCTTGAGAGACAAAACACTTTGCAAATAGCGCATTCATATTTTGGAATTGGAAGTATTCCCCTATATTTTGCAAATAGACCCTATTCTGCACCATCATCATGATTAGGAGGCTGTTCGGTAGGACTGAAAAATAAGCTTGGCTTGTAAGAAAAAATATTATTCTGCCTGAAAACACTGTTCACGTGAACAGTGTCACTGTGCGTGCGCTGGCCAGCCCTAGCCGGCCAGCCAGCCGAACGCGCTCTACTGCAGCCTGTTCGTTTCGGCTGGATTGCTCGTATGTAGCTTATAATCCATAGCTTAGAATAGTATTTTTCTCACACCAAATCAGCCAGCAGTACTTTCAGCCATGACTTATATCCAGCCGAAACGAACAAGCTGAGTAATTGCGATCTGTTGCTTTTCAAATGGGTAACGTACAATTTTTTTTCAACCAAAAAGACACTCGGACCGTCGATACGAGGTTTCGTAATTCAGGTTTGATGAAAAATATACTTTACCTTTTTTCAAGTAAACCCCTGTATTTTGCAAACGCCCCTAATTTGTATCGCGTTCCGAGATTTACTTTTTGTTATTAGGATCGACGTACCCGTCGGCCGTCGGCAATGCACAGCTATCAACTGGAGCCATGAGTGCTGCCGCACGATGGTCACCAGTGCGACGGAATGCGAGCGTTCGGCGAATGGTTGTCACCGGAGCTGGTGCCGAAAGGACGTGCGGCGGCCGCAAAAGTCTTTGGCAGGACATGTTCTTCGGAGCAGCAATAGTACCCCCAATTCGTGAATTTGTCTATGGTACAGTGCATGGATGCTCTCCTCCTTTACTGTTGAGATTGGAGTGTCTTGTCGTTAAATTCCGTTTCTGCTGAAAAAAGGGATTTGGGCTGGGCTGTTGCAATGCAATTTGCTTGAGCTCAATCAGCCTGTTCGGGAGGCCGTATCGTATCGTGGATTATTTACTGCTAGCTGGTTTGGTGTGAGAGAAAAACACTGTTACCGGCTGAAAATTTACGATCGTTTACGAGCAAGCGAACATGCCGAATCTTGTGCGCTGAATTGACACCATGTCTAGAGAAATGTAGGCTGCATAGGCCTCCACTCCACATTGCCATACGCAAGCTGAATTACACAGTATCGGCTACAAAGTAGAGTCTCCTTTTCTTGAAGTGCTGATGGAACTTTCTTCTGAACAGCATGTGCCGATGGAATAGAATCTGATTCTTGACCACTCCATTCATTGTTTTGCTTGGGCTACCAATAGCTGTATATCCATGTGACCTTTTCGTGACTTTTCCTATGTATGATCTCCCCCCGTGCCTTTTAATAAAATTGCGTTCATTAGGTCAGTGGCGAAGCTACAGGCAAATGAACCCTGGTGCACTGCTTAAGTAACTTACACAACTTTATTGAAACATATGGTGAAAATAAGACGTTGAATGGCAAAAAAAAAAAAAAAACCCTGGTGCCTGTGCACCAGGTAACTTCAACGTGGCTTCGCCCCTGCATTAGGTAGTGTGCATACAAAATTCCAGACCTCCTCTGTGCAGCCTTTATTTTTCAAAACTGTCATTTTGGTTGCCATGTCAAATGATATCTACAAGAACTTCTCTAGGCCATAAATCAAGTTCTGCAAAAACAGGGGAAAAATAAAAGAAAAAGAAGTGCCTTGTTAGCGAACCAGAGAGTGAAGCGACCTTGTGTCAAAAATTAATGAATCCCAGTTACCTTCAACCGTACCACCTTCCGTATTGCCAGGACTAGTCCTGGCATCAGGCATTGAACATTTGCAACATCATGCCGTAAGGTGTAAATCTGAAAGTGTTGATCGAGTAATGTAGTCAATTAAGTGTATTATTTTTCAGTGAAACATATCAGTCGAGGTTACCAGTACCTCTCCTGGGCCTGAGAAGTTGATTGATGTGCTGGAAACGAGACCAGGGAGAACCATACTATGCACACGCACTCCGTCTTCCCCAAGCAGTTGGCCTCTGGCCTTTTCCAAAATACTAGTCAGTCAGTTGATTCTTTGTACAGGTGAAAAAATAGCTACAAGTGCACACAAAGGAAGATGCTGTTTCTGTAGCACTATAGGAAGGTATATGATTGCAAACAGTACATTATCTTTTGTCGACACTTACTGGACTGCTGGAATCCATATCTTCCCTGTTGTATATCTGACCAAGATCTGATATGTTATTTGCAATCTGTATTGCATCTTGCGAAGGCAGATCCTGTCAATGCCAAAATTAGTACATCAGTCTGCAGATCCCTGATGTCATAGGTTGACAACTTTGTTTCTTTTGGCATTTTCATTGTTGCAGGGCACAAATTGTTAGCTGTGACAAATGGTTTAAACCTCTCAGCAACACTTCATACCGATGGGTTAGGTTTTGATTCCACAATCTCAACATTGCTGTAGTGGAATGAGGCCTGTATAGCAGCTTGTTGAAGGAGCACAGAGCCAATTGATAATGTTGGTGCAACCAAGCAAACCCTAATTAGGAAACCACATCATAAGTTGGCAAGCTTAAATGGTAATGGCGGTGTAAATTTCAGAAGTAGCGCGATGGTGACAATTTACCATGCTTGCCTTCTCGCAAAATGCTGACAGTTCAGTTACTGTATCTAACTCAATTTTAGGAACGTAGACAACGCTGCTTAAACCAAACGCCGCTGCCTGCTCATAATAAACCATTTCAAAGAGACAAGCATTATTGCTATATTTGATATCGAGTTCCCAACATGAAAAAGCGGTTGTTGTAGAGTCTACTCTAGACATGAGTAGGTCGATCCTCCTGAAAAATTAGCTGGTTAATTTTAGTCGTCAACGCCATTTATTCATGTTTGTCTCTGTCGTTGTCAGGATCGCTGAAACGCATTCCTGACGACCCCCTGATTTAGTTTGGTCCTTAACTCCCCTCTGGGACTTTCCGATGCGTGTGAAAACAAACCATATACAGGTTGAAAATTGAAATAGCAGTATTTATTTAGCTTTGGACTTAAGCACCTTGCCATTGATTGTATGCAGCTTAGATATCCTTTTCTATGTTGTAGGTGGGCAATGGACATACCTGCTTTACATTGTCGTAAACAGCTGAAGGCTCGCTGAAATCGACAACCACGCCAGTTGCCCTCGACTAGAAGAACAGACAGCGCAGTTAGCCCAAAGATGTCCTGAAGAAGGCAGCCTGCCGGGGAATGCACAGCCCCGAGCGAGGTTTGTACTGTACCTGTGCTATGGAGCCCAGAACCATGGTGAGGTCGTTCAGCACAGGGATCTCCAATGGCTCGTCCATACCACTTATCTGAAGCACAATGCCAGCATTTACAGCTCGTATGAGATAAATATAAAAGGGAAACAGGACGCTGAACTGAATGAACGGTGAGAAGAAGAAACCTGTCCTGCGTCCTCGCCAATGCACTGAGAATCGATCGCCCCTGCGAGCTCCATTCCCCTGGCCTTGCTCACCGCAAGAACGGCCGTCCTACCAATCTCTTTCGTGGCCCCAACGATAACAACCTGCACACAAGCAGCAGGCCTTGCCCTCAGGAGGAAGCTAGCGGTGGCAGTGAGAGAAGCCGGCTAGCTTTGACCAAGAACACAGACCGTGCACAGTGATGGAGTACCTTGATCGTGCTCTGGGCCGCCGCCGGCGGCGGCGTTTGCTGCACGGAGCAGAGGACCTTCGCTGCAGCATTCTTCCTCCTCGCGGTGTTCCCGCATGCTCGGATCCGAATCGGATGGCATAGCGAAACCATCTTGATCGAGGTGGTGCTCGGTCAGTCGCCACTCGTCACTCGTCAGTGTGCGCCTTGCCCTCCCGTTTGCGTTTTCCAGTGTCCTGGCCTTATCTTATCTTGTCTCATTGTCCGGAAGTGAGTGGCCTCAAGCCATTTGGCTTATCTGCGTAATACCAGCTTCTTGGAGTTTTTTTTACGCCTCTGGATATATATATTTGTAGCCATCTTTTTATGTACAGACACACACTAACCTCACACACGCACACCACGTGTACACAAACAAACCTACAACTACACCCAGATCAACAGATCGTGTTCTTTATGAGATCACCGGATCCAACATGGCACTGTAGACGATGGACACGTCGTATTTCCTTTGAGGCTCCACGTGTGAGATGCAACAAAATTTATTGAGAGCAAACCCCGATGAAATACCGAAAATTCGCATCCAGTCCCAACCACCGGGCCTTGCCACCCGAGCTACGCTCGGTTCTCACCAGCTTCTTGAGTTGGTCCCCGGCCTTGTGCCTGTTTTTCTAGGAGTACTACCTACTAAGCAGTAGGTTAGGCTAGCACTGATGCAACTCTAATTGAATGCATTCTGGTTTAAAAGAAAAAAAAATACATGGAGTGCATTCGGTGTTGTTGCGTGTACTCTAATCTTTTATCTTGCGTAACCAGTCTAAAACCCTGTTCGTTTTCTGAAAAAACAAGCTTAAATATTGTTTTAACTAAAAAGACAAGTTGAAAAATACATATTAGAAGACAAACGAGGAATGCCTCGATGCAGGTAGCACACTGACTGGATGCGCTGTCAGGCTGGCATTGGCCAACGTTCTTTTGCCCTGCTGCTGCTGCTAATGCCATGATGGGTGTCGTCGGGCACTCGGGCTATATATCGGTACAAGGTCGTCCAAGCTCTCGCCGGCCGGCCGAACCGAACAAACACAACGGACAGCAGAGAAAGACGACGGCCCGAGATAGATAGGGAACCCAACGTGCAGTGCAGGCTCGGGGTGAGAGGGATTTGTCGGCCGGTAGCACGCGTACGTGACCGGCGAGTGAAGTGATGATTCGCAAATCCTCCCGGACCGGTCACTCTTTGTAGTGTCCACTTGTACAGCAGCCCTTCTTCCCTCTCGATC